ACGCCGTCATCGTTCGTGGCGCCAATGAATTGGAGCAGACAGGGATGTCTACAGCGTGCAGCTATACTCATTTCTCGCTCAAAAAGCCTTCGATTATGTGGTGACAGAATAAGTTCGTGGATTTGCTTAACTGCTACTTTACAGCTTCGAAAAATCCCGACCTTGACCGTTCCCCAGGCACCGTTGCCAAGTGATACGTCTYTAAGCGTCACTTCCTCCCGTCGAATTATCCAGTCACGTGGRTCTATTCGACGATGGTCATCAAGAATACTTTGRGAGTTGTTCACGGTTGTCTGAAGCTCTTGTATTCTGCGCTCGCTGTCTMCAAGYGAACTTAGGCTCTCTCGTAGTCGTTGTTCGTAAGATTGTRGCTCCTGAGCAAAAGAGTCSGATTCTTCTCGTCTTCGACGTCGTTCTTGTACAAGTTCATTATCAGTCGACTCCCTCGAGCAACGCAATTCATCGTTTTCGAGTCGAAGGCGTCGAAGTTGATCTTCAAGGTTTAATCTTGTGGAGCGCTCATCTTGGTAGCGCTGCTCACTCGCGCGTAGTCTGTCRTCTCTTCCCTGCAGCTCGTGTTCCTGCGTTTGTCGAAATAATCGTTGGTTCTCAAGTTCYTCCATGTGTTGAACACAAGTGTTTTGCATTCGCTGAAGCTCTTCTTCTAARCTTCGCTTTGCGCTTCCCTCCTCAGAAAACAACCTCCTWATTTCTTCAAGCTCGGCCTGCTTGTCCTGTAGCTGTTTGTCGCGGATCCCGCGTACAATCTTTTCCTCGTCAAACTCTCGRCTCACTTGRGCTAAGTCGGATTGAACTTTTCGCATCAGGGTCGACGATTCACGCTCTTGTGTTAGCTCTTGTTGGAGTTGACGAACTGTAYCTTTCTGACTCTCAACTTCTCTTTCTAGAAGTGCTATGCTTTCATCTTTCTCTATAAGACGAATTTGATTTTCTCTCTGCGTTGACTGAAGTTCTTGTATTCGTTCAAAGCTGCGATTTCGTTCGGCTCTCTCCAGTGTGAGAAGCTTTTGGTGGTGTTCCAGGGTATTTCTTTGTTCTTCACTGTGCTTACCTGTGATTGGGAACAATGTTTATTATTATAGAAGACGCATATTCAACAATCGTTACACTAAACTGCAGGTCAGGTGTATCGAATGGGATCATAGCAGGGTATTTTCGAAGTATACAAACTCTGGTTACAACGGACACATTCAAGGATGAAATTACCGAGCGCCCTCGGTAAATAGTGATGTCTAATCATATTTCTTTGGAAAAATGACTATTTCAGTATTGTTAGGACTGGATCTTTAAACGATCTCGACCCAGGGCTTATCTGATACATACTTCACTGCCGATGTATCAGCCAATTAGATCCCTATCGTAATGTTTGGATGAACAACAAGAAATCATGAATGCTGCAGAGGGTAGGTCATTAAGAAACTTTAGTTATTACCTAGTAATGAAATATGAGATTCCATCTTCGAGTGATGTTGTAAAATATCTCTCTCCTGTGGTCCATTTTCACTATAATTCTTGTCTTTCTCATTGTCAGCTTGACTATCGGCACTACTTGACGATGGTTTAGCTGAATCGTCACATGTTTTGGTGATCTTAGGAGGAGTATTTGGCTCCGCTGCTTCAGCCTCGGCCTTTTTCCTTCTACTTCTTGTGATTATCTTGTCCTGTCCTGTCTTGTRGTGTGTTGTCTCGTTTGTGGTTGTGTCTACCGTCTTTTTGCTTTCACTTTCTTGGKGAACATTTGATGCAGRCTTGAATAAAACGTTGAATATTTCACGGTTAAACAAGATATTTTACATATGTGCACTTTGAATTCCGTTACCACAGGCTTTATCTAGTGGTACTCTTTGTTAGTGATGCATTAAAATTCTAGTAAATATACTTCTAATAAAGGCTTGAATTCATGTTATACATCTGAGCTTGAAATAGGCAAAGTAAACTGACATTATTTCAGTTTCTAAGGGAAGAAAAAAAAAAGATGGCGCGTAACCCAGTATTTATGTTTTCGATGTCCACCAAAATAATAACATACACTGATGTAGACAAATGATTCAGAAAAAAAGGAGAGAGCCTGGGCATATTAGATAAAAAAGAAGACAGAGATTGGGGATAAAATCCAGTGAAGAAACAAAATAAAACAATTTTTTTAACGATAAGAAAATATA